CCTGTTCTCTCCCTCTGCTCCACAGATCTGCCTCCGGGGTCCCCACAGTGCTCAGTGGAAGGCGGTCCAGGGGACCGCAGCCTCCGCTTCCGCTGCTCGTGGCCCGGCGGGGTCCCCGCGGCCTCCCTGCAGTTCCAGGGTCTCCCTGAAGGCGTCCGCGCAGGGCCGGCGCCCTCTGCGCTCCAGGCGGCTGTCCCCGCTCACCCCCGGCTCAGCGGCGTCCCCGTCACCTGCCTCGCTCGCCACCTGGTGACCACGCGCACCTGCACGGTTACCCCGGGTGAGAGCTGGTGGGGTTTCTTTCCTGTTTCCCGGGGAAGGGGTATACATTTTAGCTCCTTTAGGAAATGAGAAAGGTGGACTTCTAACTCCAGGAAAAGAGATTTCCTTTGTCTTCAAACCTACAGAAGCACCAATACCTCAAGCAGGGGAAGGGGCCACAGTTTCTTTCCTGGACCCAGGAAGAGGGCTGACATCTTCCTACGTGTCCAGAGCAATAAATGGTTGAGAATAATATGAGTTCCTCAGTCCAGCACCTGGGCCATAGTATGTATCTAATAAGTCCTTGCTAAGGAGATCAGGTGATGATGGACTGAGACATGGGCAGTGCTTCCTCATTTGGCTGACGTGTTGGGGTTTCACAGCTCTTTGCTTCACCAAAGCGGGCAGGACTTGGTCTTTGACTCCAGGGTCAGGTCTGGACTCGGCCCGGTTTCTTCTACCTGCAGAGGCCCCTCGGGAGGTGCTGCTGCGTCCTGCAGTGGAGGAAACACGGTCGGGGGAGGCAGAGGTGGCGCTGGAGGTCACTGGCTGTCCTCCACCATCCAGAGCATCTTGGGCCCGGGAAGGGCGGCCCGTGGCCCCAGGAGGAGGGGGTCGCCTGCGGCTCAGCCCAGATGGGCGCAGGCTCCTCATTAGCAACTTCAGCCTGGATTGGGACCTGGGAAATTACTCCGTGTTGTGCAGCGGGGCGCTGGGTGCCGGGGGCAACCAGATCACCCTCATTGGTGAGTCCATTCCTTTCCCAGAACCCAGAAGTCCTCTCTTCCCTCAAACCCGGTCCCCAGCCCCTTCTCCATCAGATCCAAGAGTTCAAGCCCTCAGTCCCCTTCCTCTTGTAGGCCTAGAAGTCTGGATCTCCAGACCCTCTACCCCAGGACCTATGGGTCCAGGTCCACAGCCCCCTTCCCTCTCCCATCTAGGACCCACAAATCCAGCCCCCACCTTAATTCCCCCAGGACCTTCCATCTCCTCGTGGAGGCTGCAGAGAACCCGGGATGCAGCAGTGCTGACTTGGGATGTGGAACGCGGGGCCCTGATCAGTGGTTTTGAGGTCCAGGCACGAACAGAAGGCCCCAACCTGGGTAGAGCCACCACCTACAGGGACTGGATCACCCTGCTCACCCTGGAGCCTCAGGAGCGGTCAGCTGTGGTGCCCCTTCCTCATCGGAACCCTGAGACCTGGGCCTTCCGTATCCTGCCCACCCTGGGGGGCCAGCCAGGGACCCCATCACAAAGCCAAGTCTACCAGGCCCGTGAGTTGGGGCTGCTGGAGGCTTCTCCTGGGCTGCTACCCTCAGTCTGTTTCGTTTATCCCCCTTCTCTGCTTGTATCCATTTTCTGGGGCTCCTTTAACAAAGTACCATGAACCGGGTGGCTTGGACCAATAGAAAGATACTCTCTCACAACTCGGCAGTCCTCCTTCTAATGGAAATGAGGGCCGTGCTCCCTCTGGGACTCTGGGTAGATGCTTTTCTGGCCTCTTCCAGCTTCTGATAATGGCCATTAGTCCTTGGATTGAATCCTTGGAGTTCCTTGGCTTGTAGCTGCAGCGCCCTGGTCTCTGCCTCCAGTTTTCCACAGCCTCCGCCTCCCTGTGCACACCTCTGTCTTCTTCTTGTAAGGACACTAGTCCGGTTGGGTCCGGGCCCATCCTCATGATCTCATCTTGACTTGATTGGTTGAATTGTGTCTCCCCCAGAAAGCTATATTGACATCTTAACCCTCAGTACCTGTGAATGTGACCTTACTTGGAAATAAGAGTCTTTGCAGAAGATTGACTCTATATCTATGATAGCACATTATTTCTGTCATAGCACATTTAGTTTTTGTCATAGCATAACCCATAATTAGGATATTAATTTGTGCCTTCATTTCTGATTTCCCTGAAAATGAATCCCCATGAGAATAGGTATCTGGGTTTGCTCACCAATGGATCGTTACCAGTAGAGTGCCAGGCACACCACAGTTACTCAGTAAATGCACAATGAATCAAGGTTCTTGGGTCCTATAAAAGAGTTGGAGCAGGGAGCTTAGGAAACTTGGCTCCAGCTCTAGTTCTTCCTGCTTCTGATTATCCTCTCTGGTCTTCCAGGCCCCACCCTGAGCCCAGGGGCCATTGCTGGCATCGTCCTGGGTTCCCTACTGGGCCTGGCGCTCCTGGCAGCGCTTCTCTACCTGTGCATCTGCTGCCTGTGCAGCTTTAGGGGTAAGTGAGGGGCCATCTGGGAGGGTCCCTAGGAAGAGACCCGCTGGAGACCTGGCTGAACCAGTCAGCGCAGTCACAGGTCATTCATCCCGCCTCCACCTCCATATCAGCCAATCAGAGTAAGGCTCCGCCTCTCAGCCTCGCTTCCCTGCTCATTGGCTGGGTTAGTATGTTGGTACAGCCAATCGCGTGTTTCTGTTTCTCCTCCTCTTTCCAGGAGACTCTCTGAAGAAAAAGAAGCATCCCCCCTCTTTGCCACCTGTGGTTCCCCCACTGGAAAAGAAGATGCAGAGTGTAACCCCAGTGCAGACGCCACTGCCTCTGCCCCTCAAAGTCCCGCTGGAGGACCCTAGCCCAAACAAGGCTCACCAGGTGAGTGGTGCCCCAGTGTCCTTCTGGAATAGGGGTGGAACTTTTCATGGTTTTTGTTTGTTTGCTTTTGTATTTAAAAAAAAAATTTTTTTTTAACGTTGACTCACTTTTTGAGAGAAAGAGAGAGAGACAGAAACCGAAGCAAACTCCAGGCTCTGCGCTGTCAGCCCAGAGCCTGTCGCGGGGCTCAAACCCATGAACTGTGAGATCATGACCTGAGCCAAAGTCGGATGCTTAACCGACTGAGCCACCCGGTCTCCCCTTTTATGTTTTAATCAGGGAGAGGAGACGGTCTGAGTTCTCTTCCTCCAGGTTTACTTGTTGGTTTACAAAATTAGTAAATTCCCCCCCACCCTTTTTTTTTAATGTATAGAAATCGGACAGGAATTCTCACCCAATTTTTGTCATGTTAAGAGTGAAATTCCAGCTTTCCTCCAAAGGAGAGAATACTCCTTTACTCTTCCATAAAAATTGGCAAAACTCCCGTTTTCTTTCTGTAGTGGGAGGGAACGTCTTCTTCCCTGAAAAAGCTGGGTTGTTGCATGTCTTGTCTCTCCCAAGGGTGGGTGAACATTTTTTTATTCTCCTTTTGCAAGTGGAGGGAACCCGGCTAATTTCTGAATAGCGTGAGCTAGCGCTAGAAAAGCGTGAGTCATGTCACATTCAGCATGTCACATTCAGGGTAACCTCTGAGGTTGTCTCCTTCCCTTCCTTTCTCTTCCAGGCCACTGGCCCCAGTCCAGTCATCTCTCTGGGCGGGGGCCCAAGGACTGTTCGGGCAGCCACACAGGTGTGACCTGCTTTGCACAGGATTTTTTGGGTAGGACTTCCTGGTAGGCAGGGCCATCCTGTCCTGCTGTGACTAAAGACTGGACCCTGAAAGTGGGACTTCCTGTCTCCTTCTCAGTGCAGAAGACTCCACTTGTATTTGCACAACCAAGCCGCTGTGGCTCCTGGGCTGGGAGAGACCCCTGCTGATCTACCACTGTGGTTTGCACACCCTCTAGGCAAGCGAGGGGCCTTCCTACGTCCACTTGCTTCTCCAGGCCACCCCCATGCAGCTCCCAGGGTCTTTGTCTTTTTTTGTTTTTTAATGTTTACTTTTGAGAGAGAGCGTGTGCAAGTGGGGGTGGGGTAGAGAGAGAAGGAGGCAGGGTCCCAAGCGGGCTCCACACCGACAGCAGAGACCCCAATGCAGGGCTCAAACTCATGAACCGTGAGATCGTGACCTGAGCTGAAGTCAGACACTTAACTGACCGAGCTCGCTAAGGCGTCCCCAGGGTCTTCATCTTAAAACAGCTCAGACTGGGTCCTTTTCTCTTTAAACCCTTCCGTGGCTGCCCTTTGCCCTTCAGAAATCTTCCTGAATCCTCACTGTGATTTTCAAAGCCTTATGGTTTGGCCTCTTGGCCTCTGACCACCCCCTCCTGCACTTTCACCCCTGCTACTTGATTAACACAAGGCTTTTTCTTCACCAGATGCTGGATTTGGCCTCCAGGGCTTTGCCCCAGAGGTTGCTCTGCTTGAAATACCACTTTTTGCCCTGTGCCGTCCGCTTCAGTGATTTATAGGAAATATATATTTGGTCATTCAGATGACCAAAATATGTTTTGCAGATATATCTGGTCTTGATCCACGGTTTCTGAAAATGATTCAGAGCCATAAAAGCAAAATACCCATTTCTTGCTATTAATGAAGGTGACTTTTGGATGCCCCCAAAGGCGGGGCTGGTTGCCTGGAGGGTCAAACCTGCAAATGGGGGATCTGGAACTTTCAGACCCATATCCGCCCCCCCCCCCATCTCCAGGAGGGGGAAGGACTGGAGGTTGAATCAGCCAATGGCCAGTGACTTAGTCAATCATAATTATATAATGAAGCCTCCATGAAAACCCAAGGGAACAGCGCTTTGGTCCATTTTGGGAGGGCTTCCACTCTTGGTGAACCAGAGTGCTCCCACGTACCACTAAGCTGGACTCCAAGATCCACAGGGACAGAAGTTCCTTTGTTTGGGAGCTTGCCCTGTGTATCTCTTTGTCTGGCTGTTGATTCCTGTCCTTTATCATATCCTTTAATAAACTGATCAATGTAAATAACTGTTTCCCTGAGTTCTGTGAGCCACTCTAGCAAATTAACCAAATCTAAGGAAGAGGTCTTTGGAACCTCCGATGTGTAGCCAGTCGGTCAGGAGCACAGGTAGCAGTTTGGGGCTTGCAGCTGGTGTCTGAAGTGGGGTATGGAGGTGGTAATCTCGTAGAACTGCACCCTTCACCTGGAGAATCTGATGCTACCTCTGGGTAGAGTGTCAGAATTGAGTTGGTGTCTGAGAATTGCTTGGTGTTGGGCTGCTAGAAAGAAGCCCATCAACCCAATCAAAGGAGGGATGTGGAGATTCAGAGCACAGTGAAGCGAGGCTTTAATCAACGTTCTTGCAAGAGGGAGTATCTGACGGACAGGCACACTCGGGGCAGTTACAGCAGACGATTTATCTCCTAGCACGCAAGTCCCTCCCCTGGTTCCTCATTGGCTGAGTACTACAGAGGTTACAGCCTGACCCGGAAGTTGCCTATGCCCATATAAGGCAAACAGTAGACTGATTGGAATAAATGTACATTCCCTGAGGTGATGCAGAGACTTTCAGTCCCTTCTCCCTTTGTTCTTTGGCGCATGCCCATTGCATGCCCATTGCAAAGCCCGCAAAGTGGAGAGGGGAAGAACCAGGAAGTGAAGTGTCTAAGAGTTTGGGAGTCCATTGTGGTGGTGGAGGAGGTGCGTACATATTTCCAATAGGTTGTAAATCTATTGTTAATTAGACAGCACAGCTTTTATTTGATATTTCTGAAAATGAATCATCTCCTTTACTTCTCACAGGGGGAACCCCCCAATGTTGGGATCAGGTCCAGAAACCCTAAAAATGTAACTATTACAAGCTTAGGAGACCCTTTCCTAACCCATGACCCTAACCTGCCTTGACCCTGACCCTTCTGCTCCTCAAACATAAATACAGAAGTACTTGTTTAGCCTCTGACTCCGTCTCTAAACTGAGAACTTCAGGAAGGCAGAGACTGTGTGTGTCATTTTATCCCCAGCACTTAACACAGAGCCTGGCACATAGCAGGCAATCAATAAATACTGCACATGTTTCGGTGCCAGCGAAAGGCTGGGCTTGCAGCTGCTGTCCCCAATGAGGTCTTTCTTTTTTACTGGGTTTCTCATTGGAAATTTAGGGAGTGCATCAATGAAGATTCCCTTGGCCGCAAGAAACAAAATAAATGGTGGCAAAATGGATGGTGGTTTCAGGCTGGCTCAGCAACTTAGTGACCCCATCAAGGACCTGAGCTCTCTACATCCTGCTCGGCCACCCCCAGTGGGTTGGCATATTGTCTTATGTAGCAAGATGGCTGCCACAGTGCCAGGCATCACCTCTTCACACAACTGTATCTGAAGGCAAAAGGAAGGGAGCAAGGTTCCCTTCCCACACCCCTTCCCTCGACCAACCTCACTAGCGAGGAAAAAACTTTCCTGGAAGCCTACTGGCAAAGTCTCCTTATTGACCCCAAACTAGCCACGTCACTGCAAGTGAGGCTGGGAAACCAAGTGTCTCAGCCTGTGTCGTGGGAGGTGGGTCTGAGAGCAAAGAAGGAGGAAACAACCAAAGCAAGGGCAACCAGCATCTGTCTCAGGGAAGGAAAGGATGTGAGGTATTCTGGTTAAAGATTGGGGTGAAAGAGGCCTTTGGGAAATAGAGCTCTTAGATCTTTTTGGAAAGGTGAAGCCTGGGGTCCTGGGTACCTGGATCCTTGATATCATTTCTGTATCAGAGCTTTCATTTCCTTTTTAATCACTAGAGTGAGGAACCTAACACACGTTGGCTTCTACATACAGGGGGCTCTGTTGCTTATGTAAGTGAAAGTGGGCATCAGGTAAATTTTGATCCAGCTACTCAAATGATGGCATCGTGGACTCAGTTTCTTTAGCTCGCTCCCCCTCCCCCCGCCACTCTGTATTTCAGTGTTTGTATCATTCTCAGGCTCTACGTGCTATCTTCCCCACCATTGCTATCCCGACAGACCAAAGATCTTCCATGTAATGGAGAAAAGCAACTCATCTAGATACACCTCACACCATTGAGCTACATTATCCAGTGGAATAGCATCTTGTGAATCCATACAGCTCTGGAACTCATTAGCCGAGAGGCTGAAGCCAATCAAAATCTACCAAAGACAGAGAAGGCAGAAATGATGCTGGAGAGGCACCACCAATGACCATGACCCTTTGCTCTCCACTCACTCAAATCCTTAATGACACGGATACTTGCAGGCAGAGACTTTGGAAAAAGGCGTTTATTGGTGTGGTGGTCTCAACACTCCCCATGAATCGGAACACACGGCCCCCAGGGCCCCCCGCCCCCTCCCTTGCATCCCTCCCCCTCCCCTCCCCATCCCCTGGACCCTGGGAATGGAAGACAATGTGGGATGGGGCCCACGCCCCCGTCTGAGGTACAGTCACTGCCCCTTGCCCCCCTGCCCCTGCTCTGAGCTCCTCCCCCCACCAAGCTCTGGGTAGTGTGGTTTGGGGCGAGTGTTTATAGCAGGTCCCCCAGGAGTCGGAGCTGGAGACTTGACATCTTGGACTGGACTGGGGATGCCTGTGTGACGCCTCTCTCTCCCCCACTTTGTGTGATGTGTGCCAAGATCGTGTCTTCCCACCTCAGAGCTGGGGTTACAGCCTCTCAGCACGCCCTCCTGACAAGTTGCCCACCCTCGGGGGGAACACAGCCGGTCACCAGCTGCGGTGCAGCCGGAGCCGGGGGGCCTATTGCTGGCCACGGTCGCTGGTATGTGTGTGTGTGTGTCTATGTGAGTGTGTGTGAGGGCGGTCAGGTCAGCCTTTGGGAGAGAGGCCAGGGAGTGGGGGAGTGGGGGACCAGCAAACCCACACCCGTGGGAAGCTGCGGGGGCACGGAGGGCAGCTGGTTGGTGCTGCGGGCGGCCAAGGGGAGTCGGGGGTCGGGGAGGGCAAAGCACTGAGACAGACAGGTGGCCACAGGCACCGGTCCGACAGTTGGATGGAAGCACCGATTGGCCCAGAGGGGGCCAGAAAGTCGGGGTGGGGGGCAGGGAAAGTGGGAAGGTCTCAGGCTGCTGAGCCAGCGATGGGACCTCTGGCTCCAGGCAGCTGGTGGTTGACAGCAATGAGGCCCCGGGCCAAGATGGAGATCGCTCACCTGCTCACAGAGGCTGAATGATAGCTTGACAGGCGAGGGTGACACCCCTCCCCACCCCCAACCTGCCCAGGAGACGCTCTATTAACAGGGAGGGGAAGGGGTGGGGTGCGTGCATACACTGGGGAAGCAGGGGGCCTGGAAAACCTCCCCTCACAGCTCCAGCCGCGAAGCCCACATACCTACCTCCAGCCAGAGGAGAGAGGCAGCAGCACTGGGGGGCAGTGGGCATGGGGGTGTTAGGGGAGGGAAGATTGCTGAGCCCCTCCCCCCACACATACACACACGTGCAGGCTCATGCTCACACACACCCACTACATACACACGATCCAGTTGACAGCCTGAGCTAAGAGAGGGGTGTGGGGTGGCCGGGGGTGGGTCGCAATCGGAAACGTGAACGGTGGCGAAAATGGCTGTAGAAAGATGCATAATTTTGCGTTATCCCTCACAGTGATGGGTTCTCTAAAGAGCTTTCCTCCTCCTCCTCCTCCTCCTCCTGCTTCTCCTCCTCTCTTCTTCCTCCTCGGTGGCAGAGAGCTCTTCCGCCCCCTCGAGACCCACGGCGCTGGCTCTCCCTTTTTCTCTAGCTCTCCGCCTCAGGCCCCTCGCAGGGGGGAGGCGAGCTGCGCTGGGTTCTTCCTACATCCTCCACCACAGCCAGCCCAGGGCGGAGAGGAGGGTCAGGGGCCCCGGGGGCCTCGGGGCTGAGTTCTCCAGGGATCCTGGGCCTGGGGAAAGACAGAGGGTCGCGGGGGTGGCCTGGGAAGGGGAGACCCCATGTGTGTTTCCCGGTGCCTTGTGTCTGCCCTGTCTCTGGGGGCAGAGACGCTAAGACACTTAGCGACACTTGTTTCTGTCTGCCACTCAGTCCCTCTCTCTTTTTCCGTCTTTCCCAGATGTTCTTTTTCACCGCCTCAGCCCGGGGCTCTCTCCACGTCGGTCTCTCCGTCGTACAGTTTCGGTCTATCCAGTATGGCCACCAAGGGTCTTGCAGTCGGCACATCCACAATGGTCCTCTTGACTTTCCTCCCCGAGACTGGCTACTGCACCCGTCCCAGCATCTCTCCACTTCAATACTTTACTACTACGTGCCCATCCACCCAGGTGCTCAAGCCGAAACCTGTGATCGCCTCGACCCCCACTTCCTTCTTCCTCCACCTTCAAAACTCTCGGCATACAGAGACTTTGTGCCACAGAGCGGGGCCTCCTGCCTCCATTTTGCACCCCCCCTACAGGCCATTCTTTAAATAGCATCAAAGTGATTTCTCTTTTGAAGCACCAACCACTAGGTCATTCCCTTGCTTAATAGCCTCTGGTGGCCTCACTCTGCAGTAGAATAAAATCCAAAATCCTTTCCATGGCCCATGAGACTCTGCCCCTCCCTTCCTCTTTCGGCTCAGCCTCCACGTGATCACTGTGCTCAGGTCATGCTAGCCTTCTCACTGTGCCCTTCCATATACGTTCCCTCTGCCTGCAAAGCTCTTCCCGCAGATCTTGGCCGGGCTGGCTGCTTCTGACCATTCAGGTCTCAGTTCAAATGTTATCCTCTCTAGGAAACTTCTGATGATGAGCTTATCTAACGCTACCATTTCCAATCCTTATTTATTTTCTCCGTCACCCTTATCGATATCCACTTTTTTTTTTTTTTTTTTTTGGTGCTTCTTTATGTACGTTTTTGTTTGCTTTTTATTTTATTTAAGTGTCTACTTATTTACTGCCTTTCTACTACTACTAGGCCATAAGCTCTTCGAGTCCCCAGACCTTGTCTCCTTTGGGCACTGCTGTGTCCCCAGCAGCGAAGTTTCCCCTTAGGGGCACTCAGACCGACATTCATTGAGGAATGGGCTTGCTCAGATGCCTTGTGTGTAGGTCTCAGGGCATCTTCTTCCTAAGTGCGTCATGGGTGGGGACAGTCCCGGCCCCGCCCCTCGCCGACCCGCCCGCCTCCCCGCCGATCCCCGCCCCCTCGCCCCGGCCCCGCCCCTCCCTCTCGGACTCACGCAGGAGCCTCATAGAAGCGCTGGACGCTCCGAGCCGGTTGGCGGCGCGACACGTGTAGTTGCCGTAATGCCGGGCGCTCACGTTGGCGAAGAGAAGCATCGAGCGGGTGCGCTCCGTCTGCACCTTCAGGCCCTCGGCTGTGCCGCTGATCAGCCTGCCGGGGACCCGGGTCAGGGACCGGGCCTTGGAACCCTGGCCTGGGACCCCCTCAGGGCGCAGATCCCACTGCACGCAGCTCTCAGGCTCCCTGATTTCCCAGAGACCCCGTATTCTGCCCCCGACCCCAGAGGCCCCTAGCCTCAGGCTCTAGCCCCCTATGGATCTCTGGGCCATTCGTACTGACACTCCTCTCTCCAGGCACCCCTAGGGGCCCCTCAGGGACACTGGACTCTCCTGGCGTTGGGCCCCCAATCTCTACGGGCTCCCAGATTCTGCTGGACCCCGGCCCCAATGGTCCTCTGAAGCCTCCCCGCCACAGCCTCAGCATCGACCCCTGAACTTCTCCCTGAACAGCCTGAGACCAGGCTCCAACGCTCATCATTGTGACACCCAAGTTTTCAGCAAGTCCCCACAGTCTCGCTAGAAGCTGGGCCCCATCCCCCAGAAGCTGGACTCCCCCAGTTCTCGAGACCTAGGGCTCGGCCACCTCCCCACCCCCACCGGGGCCGGACCCGGTGCTGTCCTCACAGTCTGTCATCCTTGTACCACTGGAAGTCCGCGGGGGGCACTGCCATAGCTTCGCAGCGCAGGAGGGCGGCCCGGCCCAGGGCTGTGCGGGCGCTGGTCACGTCCGTGATGGTCGGAGGATCTGGCGAGGGGTGAGAGTCAGCGAATTCTCCTAGCCAGGTGGGGCCTCGGGGGTTCCGTCCCCATCCCCCTCCTCCCTCCTTCCCGGGAGTCCGGCACTCCCCTTCCCCCTCCCCAGGGACCCAGGGCCTGCCCCCCTTTCGTGCCCAGTGCCAAGGGGCTCACAGTTGACTGTGACCAGCACACGGCGGCTGTCTGGCGCAGAGTTAACGCCGTTGTGAGTCACGCACTCATATTCGCCGGCCTGGCCCCGCTGGATGTCCGAAATCTCCAGGATCTCGCCCTCTGAGGTGAAGCCGTCTGTGCGGGGAGGGAAGGGGTGGGGGCGGGGCCGGACACAAACACTTAACACGGGACAACACGGGCACAACACGGACACACATCAGCGGGGCAGGCACCGCAGGGCCTGGAGTGCCCGGGTCAGTGGGAGCCAGGAAGGGTTTGCGGGAGGTTTGGGGTGGGGTGTGAATCAGCAGCCTGGGATCTCTTGCTAGGGGTCTGGCAGGGAACGAGGGTGTGGGGCTTAGTAACTAGAACCCAACGGGGAGGGTCCTAGAATTGGGGGGTGCATGAGAGGATCCAGGGATCTGGGAGCTCATGATTCAGATCATGAGGCTTAGAGCACCCAGTGGGGACAGTCCCAGGACCTTGGTGCTCGGAAAGCTCCAGATAATACGGACCCAAGGCAAGGGGTGAGGGTGGAAGGTGGGGGCAGATCCAGAGTTCTGGGATCTAGTTCTTGGATTCAGTGAATCAGGATCTAGTGATTGGGATCAGCAATCTGGGTATTTGGGGTCTTATGACAGATCACTGGGCTCAGAAGACATTTTGGACTAAGGGCGTCCAGGAAGCCAGGATCTCAAGCCCAGGCTTGTGGGGCTCAGATGACCCAGCGGGAAAGGATCCAGGATCTGACACCTAGTTACTGGGCTGAGTGATAAGCACCATTGGTCTCCAAAGACCCAGTCAGTGAGGATCTAGGGATCTGGGGAATGGTGGTGGAGATCCAGGTGAAAACGGTGGTGAGAGAGATCCAGCGATCTGGAATACCAGGTTCAGGTACCTTGCTGCTATGTTTGGGGGTAGTCTAGAGCAGTGGTTCTCAGCTCGATCGCCAGAATCACCCCAAGGGCTTGTTAAAACGGACTGGTGGTGGTATGGGCGGGGAGCTGGGGATCAGGTGGGGATCAGGTGGGGTGAGGTGGGGTTCTCATTCATTAGGTCTGGGATGGGTCCAGGATGTGCGTTTCTGGCAGGCTTCTCGCTGCTGTTGCTGGTCTGGGGACCAAACTTTGAGAACTGATGGGCTAGAGGATCCAGCGAGATGTAGTGAGGTGACCAGGAGATGGGAATAGGGATAGGGGCCACTGGCCATCGCTTGACTTAGGGTTAGTGGTAGGGATTCAGAACCCAGAATTACGTGAGCTGCCGGGGGGAGACCAGGGATACTAGCGGTGGGGACAGGGGGCAGGCTGGAATCTAGCAGGTGATTTAGAGGAAAGGGCCCAGGCCTGGGACGGCAGGTGGTGAAGGCTCTAAAGCTCTGGGGGCTGTTGGTAAAATAATGGGATCAGGTGGGGGTGAGGGAATCAAACCATGACAGAGGTTAGGGGGACCAGGGAAGGGGGAAAGTAGGAGTCTGGGAGTCTAGCTAGGGATATGGGGAATCGAGGGGCCCAGATTGTGGAGTGGGGAAAGGGGTTTGGGTCAGGGGAGGGGTCCTCACCTCGGAGCTGCCTCCAGGTCACTGTGGGCTCCGGCCGTCCCACGGCCAGGCAGAGCAGGTTCACGTTGCCTCCCTCGTTCACCGTCACGGGCGAGGAGATGTTCACGATGCGGGCGGGGACTGCAGGCCGGGAGGGGAGAGGTCGCGAGAGGGTGAATACGGCCTCCCAGGGCCCAGGAGTCCGGACCCCCAGCCCCTCCTCCCTCAGACCCAGGAGTCCAGCCAATATTTCCTCTGTCTTTCTGTAAGAATTCCTCTGTGTTTCTCCTCTGCCTCTGGGTCTGGCTCCTTGTCCAACTCCTGATCTCTGCCTTTCTCGTTCTTTCTCAGTCTCTGTCTCTCTCTCTCTCTACCTTCCTCCTGACTTGGTTCCTCTGCCCTCTGGTTTGACTTTCTCCCTTATCTCTGTCTACGTTTATTTATTAATTATTATTCTTATATTAAACAATTAGTAGATATAACAAATACTCATATGGTGCTTCCAGCGTGGTAACCCCGTTCTAAATGTTGTACAAAAGTTAGCTCATTAAACCTTCACTACCCTACCACCCTCTGAGGTTAATGTTGCTATTTAAAAAAAAAAAAAAAGAGTTTACTTATTTATTTATTTATTTAGAGAGAGAGAGAGAGAGAGAGAGAGGGAGAGAGAATCCCAAGCAGGCTGCGCAGTGTCAGCACAGAGCCCAACGTGGGGCTCGATCCCATGAACCGTGAGATCGTGACCGGAGCGGAAATCAAGAGTCGGACCCTCAACCGACTGAGCCGCCCAGGCGCCCCAGAGATTGCCAGGGTCGGCAGCTCGAATGTGTACGGCTATTTCTTCCAGCCATTTGAACGTGGCTCCAATCAGACCACATGAGAGGCCAGCGTTTAAATGACGGGGTGCTTTCTCTCTGTCTTTTCTGGCAGAGTATAAAATGAAGCTGCCTCTTCCAGTTGACGAAGTCTTGGGTTTGACGTGTGACAGTCCTCCCCGCTCTTCAGATGGCGAGTCCGAGGCCTCCTCGGATGCTCAGGGTCCCTCAGCAGGGCGGGTGGTCTGGCTCCTGAGACCAGACCTGTTCCTGCCACGTGGGGCAGCCCCCTGAGCTCTGTCCCGTTACTCTCTCTGTCTCCTGCCCCCTCGAGCCCCAGGGCCTGGAGCAGTGCCTTCACGTGGCAGGCGCTCAACCAACAGAGCTGAGTGAATGACCGCGATCTTCCTCGGAGCACCCCCTCACCCCTGTAGCTCTCCTGTCCTAGCAGCTGTCATGCTGAAGGGTCACTTTCCGGGTGCCTGTCCCTCCTTCTGCTCGGCTGAAATCTGCGAGGGCAGGGGCTGTGTCCGCCTCGCACACCACGTGTCGCCAGGGTCGGGGAGCGGGCACTTGGCGAGGATACGGATAGTCTCCCCCCCCCCCC